ACGCAGCACCCCTCCCCTCTCGGTCTGGTGATGTTGTCTTCTGGAGTTCTGCTCGTACTCTCTGTACACCTCTCCACCTGCTCCTTGGGGCGGGGGGTGTGCCTGACTCACTGTGGAGCCCCCTGACAGAGCAGCCGGTGGTGGCTGAATTAACGGAATCCCCTTACACTTTTGGTAAGTCTGAGCCCGGGGCCGGGCAGAGAAGTGATGCTCCCACAATGCGCTTGCAAAGTGCAGCTCTGGGAAGGCGGCTGCAACAAAATCACCGTACCCGCTCCAGACCTTTGCAAGGGCATCCTCTGGTCCGACCCTGGGACTCTCTACCAGCCAACCTCACCTGGGTTTCCAGGCAATTCCCCTGGAAGCTGGACCAGTTGGGGCAGTCCGGTTGTGCCTTTCTGGCCTGGTGAGATGCCACTGGGCTGGAAGGCTGGGATGATGGCCTCAGTGGGACCACCCAGGATGGGGCCAACGAGCCTCTGAGTTGCTGTAGATGCCTCATCCTACCATTTCCCCCTCAAAGAGGGAGCCCCTGACTCTGGTCCCTCTCCCAAAGAGTACCATGCCTAGGGTGAGCCAGGCAGCACTTTACATGCTTAGCCCTCCCAACATGCTTTGCAGGTTGGTATGATGAGCCCCATTTTTCAGATGTGGAAACTGAGGCTCAGAGAGGTTAGTAAATATCCTAAGATGAAGCAACTGCTAAGAGGTGGATCCAGGTTTTGAGCCCAAGTCTCTCTGAGTCCCGAGGCTGCTCTCTTCTCAGTTAGACGCCAAGGTGCAGGCTCAATGTCTAATCCTGGGGAAACTACACAAACCTCCTCTCCCATATTCTTGGAGGGGACGTCTGGCTTCCCTCCTTCCTTGTAGCCTAGGGAGGATACTGGAGAGACTCAGGGATGTTGAGCATGATGCAGAGGGAGGAGGAGAGAGATTTCAGGTCTAGTGTCTTCTCGGTGGCCTTCACTGCACTGATTTTTTCCACCAATGCGGAGGCCAGCTCCGTGGTGGGCTGGTAATCATTTCTACTCATAAGAACATGATCCTGTTGCCCTCCAGGAAGCCAGCTCCCCAAGAATCAAAGGGGTCTTCTGCATCCCCCATCCCAGCCCTCTGAAAAACTCCAGAGGCCTCATGGGGAACTTTAGCAGTGGTGAGAGCATTTTCCTAGAATGTGATGGGAAGGGATGGGGCACCATGTTGGTCAGAGTCAACCGACTGGGTGAGAGAAGAACCAGGAGAGACACCCTGCCCCCCAGAAGGGTCAGCGAGAGGAAATCTGGCCCCTGAGCTGAGTTCAGTGAACTGTTTATATAAGTGTGCGTGGTGGTGGAGGGGGTAGGCTTCTGTGTGTGTGTGTGTAAGGGCACCTGGGGTGATGCCTGTGGAGTGTGTATTTGGCTGTGACTTGCAGGGGTGTGTGTCAGAGGTGACTTGGCCGTGTGTGTGTGGGGTGCGTGCAACTGGGGAGCAATACCAAATCTGTCGTCTGGACGGTAACCCTCAGCCAGTCCAAGCCCAGCTTCTGTTCATGGCCAATCACACACACACACAAAGCAATCACCTTCAGGGAGAGTAGGTCTGAAATACTAGGGAATCTCTCAACATGTCAGAGCCACAGGGTTCAGTATTCACCATAGTAACAGCCTTTTCCTGTTGGATTCCCAAAGGTTGGTCATGGACCAGCACAGCAGGAGGAATTGGTCCACCGACTGGTGCACGCACACTGCTGACCTCGCTGGGGTCGGGCACGCACTGCTGCCTGTGTGCCCCCCACCCCCATCTTTCACAGCGTCAGCACAAGGTTACCAGTTCATCATTTCCTGCCATATTTTGGCTTTGAATTGTCCTATGTTTTATGAAATAATATCTTGAAGAGTTGGCAGGTTTTCTTCTAACATACTTTCTTGGCAAAATAAAAAAAAATTACCAATCCTGTGTTTCTCCAATTGTTTAGGAATTTTACTAGCCCATGAAATCCAGACAACTGGAGCCTCTAATTAAAACTCTCTCGTTGTTATCCCCATTTGGGGGAGGAGAAGAATATGGAAACTCAGCCCGGGACATTGTATGCCACCTCCCTTCTGAAACAGTGGGGACTTGCTATTTGGTAAGGGAGATAGTGGATTTTTTTTTTCTCTCTCTCAAAGGAGTTCCTGTCTTCTCAACAGGTGAAGGGATGGCCGGTTGTTCAAATCCATCTTTTCTAACAAGATCTGTTGTCTTTCTGTGTCTTTGCACAGAACTCGAGAGAACAGCCTGAAATCTTAATGTATGCTTACAAAAGCAGTATACCCATAAACCAGCAGCATTGGATTTTTACAGGAATCCAGGGATACATAAAGGAGAGGGGCAAGGGAGAGAGCTGATTCTTCCCACACATACGTCCAGAGCCTCCGAGTTTGTTTATCCATAATTGCTGTGCAAGTATAAATTAGAACAACTAATGCATCCTGCCTCGCCATGGTGACACCAACCCTGTAAATAATTATAATTTAATCTTATAGCAAAGAGTTCTGAATGACTCCCCTAACAATTTCCTCTGCTTAATTCCTTCCCCACTGAGTGACTTAATAGGAAAAGGAATACTCTTTCAGATTCGTTTCACTCCAGAAGTTTGGACAACGTGTAGGCTCACACCTGGCGGGGCAGAAGCTGCAGGAGATCGTTTGGTCCACGGATAAACAAGTGAGTCGAAGAGGCCTCGGTGCTGGAGGAGAGGGAACTGGCAAGGATGTTCGTCCTGGCACCTGTTTATAGAAGCGAAAACTCGGGAACAACTTAACAAGAGATCTGGTGAGTCAACTATGCCACCGTCTTACAAGGGAATGCTACATAGCCAGGAAAAACCATCGCAGAGGTAGCGCGTCATAGTGCGCTGTCATGGCTTGGAAGACAGGCTCTGGAATCACATTAAGCTGGGGCTGAATTCCAGCTCTGCTCCTTTCTAGGTGTGTGACTTCAACAAGTAGCATAACCTCTGGGCCTCATTTCCCTCATCTGTAAAAGGAGGAAAATGACACTACCTATGTCATAGAGTTTTTATGAAGATGAAATGAAATGATAGCTCTGGAGAGCTTAGAACTGGCCTGGTGCATATTGGTAGAAAATGCTCAACAAATCATACAATGATCACACATTTTATATTTTAGAGGAGTCTGTAATGATACAAGAAAAATTTTCATGACACAATGTTAAGCTAAAAGTATGTGACTATAGATATAATAAGATCCCAACTTGGGAATATTAGACTATATATAAATAGCCACCTAGCTTGGTCTAGGCTAAGCAAAAAAGGTCAAAGGGGAGTACACCAAAATTTTAATAACTGTTATTTATTTCTCTATGCCTTTGTGTATTTTCTACGTTTCCTACAAGGAGCATAACATTTACAATCAACAAGATAGGTATTTTTAAAAAAAGAGCAGGAACCCCAGGATCTTCAGGGCTGAGCAGGTCATTGAGATTCCAGTTCAGTGAAGGCTCATCTAAACTTTCAACCCAACTCCCTGCTCAAAATCGCCAGCTGTTGCTCCTGGACTAGTTTACAAACATCACCATCCATGGGGTGGTTTATGTCTTTGCTCACATGGGCTTCTCTCAACCCTCCAACGAGGGTAGGAAATGACCTGGCTGGGTCCACACGACAAGCTCAAGACACCACCATCTTCTGACTCCCAGGTCAACTTGCCTCCCACTGCACCAGAAACTTGAGTTTTCTGGTTACACTGGCTCCCAAATCTGAGTTTTATTTGGAAGGAGTCCACTCCTATCCCTCTTAAATAGTCACACTTGGCTCCTACATGAATTTATCTGATTTTCTCACCCAGCAGACAATGAGCTCCTCAAAGGACCATGTCTACTCAACTGGTGTCTCTTCCACCATGAAACCTGGTATAAAGGAGGTGTGCAATAAACGTGCCTCTTACTCCTATTTTCCTCCCCTCCCTCCCATCTTCCTCCTTCTTTCCCCTCCTCCCCACTCCCCTGACTGCCATGTTTCTGTCTGTCCTAGTCACTGTCCTTCCCTGACTTTTGCAGCCACCCACTTTCTTCTCCACTCAGAATCCTTGGTGATATCTCCTCCGCCCTCCATCCCTACGCACTGAGCCCTGCCTTCCCCTGGCCTACACAGCAACCAAGGTTGCAACCATGACCCATCCTTGCCTGAAGTGCATCAGAACACATCCTTCTATTGGCCCCTGGTGTGCTGACAGAGGTCTCTTGATGCCCTCATCCCGATAACACAGCCATGATGAGAATATAACAGAACATTCCAAATGCCACAACACCATTGTGATGCTTGTCATCCAAAGAGCAAGCTGGATTTTTCCTTAAGCACCACCCCCCACCCCCGCCCTGCCAGCTTCAGCCCATCCCATGAGTCCAAGTCTGGGAGACAAGCAACAAAGGCTGGTAAGTCTTCAATCATCTCCTCCCTAACCCACCGACATCTGAGAACCTCCGTGGCGCACACCAGAGAAGAGCCCACACTTTTCAGCAAAGCCAGAACAAGAGGGGGGAGGTTAGTCCTTCCCTTCAGACACTGAGAAATGATGCCTTTCCACTGGTGCAGGACCCTGGGAGTGGGAAAAGCAATTGCCACTTATGGTTCCAGTCCCTTTGTTGGATACAACGCATATGTCTTCCAGAAATGGAACGATATTTCAAATCATTTTCCTGGACCCTGTCCACATCCTGAGACCAGAACATTTTTAGTCTTAATGCAAGTTATTCAACCAAGGCCCATCATGAAATTCTTCAGAAAGAACATGCTTCAAATCAAATATCAAAATCACTGTAAAAAATGTACCCCGGCTCTAAAAATAAGCAGTGATTTCTCATCATGATGGGATGAAAAGGCTCCAACAGTAAGTGTAGGGAAGTGGCAAAGAGGCCCCTGGCTGCAGGTCCGGGCACTAAGGAGATTGTGTGCAACCTGGTAATTCACAGGTGCAGAGAACGGGAGGGAAGCGAGGGGGCGGGGACAGTGTGCTTACCAGAGGGAGGAGCCTTCGGTCCCTGTGACTTCCAGAAAGTCGTAACCATCCTCCAGCTGGAAGTCAATAAAGACCAGGGCGATGGTGTCTCCCAGCTCGGCCAGGATGGTCCACGTGCAGTCGGCGTTGTTGTGGTACTCCGAGGGGAAGTGGGGGCTGGAGATGATGCCGCTCTGGCCCCGCAGGGTCCCGCCACAGGCGTCGTCCGCTGCGGGCACAGAGACAAGAGGTTCACATGAGTGGTCTGGTTTCCAGGCCTGAGAACTCGCCGTGGGCTTCACCCACGAAAGGCAGAGAGGGTCCTGGAACACGACGCACAGACAGTTCGAACACGACGCACAGACAGTTCAGACAAGATCCTGGTCGGAACTGGCCTAATAATAATGACACCAAACACTTCCATAGCCCTTATCATGTGCCAGGCACTGTTCTAAGAATTTTAGATATTATTGCTCTCATGTAACAGAGAAAGGAAACCAAGGCACAGGGAGGTTAAGTGACCTGCCCTAGGTCACACAGCTAATGAGTGGTGGAGCTAACATTTGAACTCTGTCCCTGGAGAGTACACTTTTAACCCCTACACCACAGTGCTCTGCAAGGAGCAGGAAGAAATCACCTGTCACATGGATTTCCATGGTCACTAGTTCAGTGAATAGGATTTCTTCCCACCAGATCTTAGTAAACTTCAGATGCGATGCAACAAAACAAAACTCAGCACAATTCCCTGGGGCAAAACTCAAAGGGCTTCCCAGGCCTCTTACAACCTGGTCAGACTCTGCAATCTTTCCTCCCGCCCTGTCCCCAGGCCAGCTGTGTGCCAGCGCTGTGCGCATTCAGACTCCGGCCCTTGTCCAGGGCAACTCTCCTAACCCTTCCAGACTCCAATGCCGCCTCTTGGTAATGCCCGATCCCCTCGAGTTCTAGTAACTGCTCTCTCCTCTCTGCTCCCTCCCCTGGCAATGTGTTGCATATGCTGTGTTAGAGATAAGAACTAAATGATAAAGAAGGGAAAAATGCAATGGCAGTGTTCAACTGTATACCAGATGCAGCAGGGTAACAATAATGAAAGCTAATATTTATTGAGCACGTATAATATACCAGGCACTATTCTAAGCATTCTGCATATTTCATTTCATTCTAACTATGACCCTATGAGGTACTTTTCCCATTTTATAGGTGAGGAAACTGAGGCACAAAGAGATTCAGTCACCTGCCAAAGATGACACAGCCCATAGTTGAAGGAGCTGAAATTCAAAGCCCTACAGGGTCTATGCTCTTAGCCAACACTCTCTTCTGTCTCCCAAGTGTACAACTCACACTTTGAGGACATAAAGCAGCAAATAACTTTGCTTGGATGAGTCAATTCAGGACAGCTTAACAGAGGAGGTGCCATTAGAGCTGAGTTTTGAGAGATGAATAGGAGTTCACTAGACAGAGAAGAAAGGGAAGAGCATTTCAGGGAAGAGGGAGCCACAGAAGTATGAACGTGCAAGGCATGTCTCAGATAAATAGCTTGAGATGGCTCACGACAGGGTGAACAGAGAGGAATAGTGTATGACGGTGACAGAAATGTAACAGGGGCCACATGACAGAGAACACTGGGCTAAAAAGACTGGAAGCAGGAGAGTGTAATGGAAAGGAGATGGACTTCAGGATCAGGAAGGTCTAGATTTGCATTTAGGCTCCACAGTTCCCCAGGCACGTACATGACCTTGGGCAATCTCTTTCTCTAAGCCTCAGTCTGCTTCTCTGTACATTGGCTGGTTGTGGGCACAGAACAGGAAAATAAATGTGACGGTACCCAGCATTAGCCAGTGACTGGCATATGGCAGATGCCCGACTAGTGCCGAGGTCTCCTTTTCCTTCCACTTCCTCTTAGGGATCCAAGGTAGTAAAGACATAGGATTCGACTTGCAGTTTAGGAAGAATACCCTGGCCATGGCACAGCGGAGGTCTGAGTCAGGAAGCAAGCAGGACGCTCTTGGCAGACACAGCCACCAAAGTCCAGGCGAGGCTAGATGAGATCGGGCTAAGGGTGTCGGGAGGGTGGGAAGGGGACTCATTCGAGAGATATTTAGGAAGCAGAATCTACAGGACTTAGCGACTGGGAGGTCAGAAATCCAGGTTTCTGCCGTAAGCATCTGCACGGATGAAAGGTGCTATTTCCTGGGGCAGGGAACCCAGGTGCGCCCTGAGGCATGGAAGGCAGCCGGGAGTTCAGTTCTGGACGCAGGGAGCTGTCCAATGTGTCCGATGATGAGATCAGATTAACAGATACATAGGAGCCATCTGGGCTAGAGATGGAGTGATTTTGTGTAGTGGCTCTGAACAGTTGTTACTAATATCATTCTACAGAGTCAAGAGAACCACAAGTGCACTTCCAAATGCCAGATGTTAGGTATGTCTGAGCACAGAAATAAAAGGGCCTCACCCACAGTAGGTGCCCATGAATGCTTCCCTCCCACACCCATTAACTGAGCACCTACTGTGTGCCAAACATGGGACTGGGGCCAGCGCTACACTATGAAATGCTTGATGTCATCTCTGCCCTCACCTGCTTCTCAGAGACGGGGTGGGCAGGTGAACCAGCAGCGGCAACATGGAATTGTTATAATGGAGGTGCTGAGGGCCCAGTGATAGCACGTGGGAGGTGGGGAAGGCTTCACAGAGGAGACAATGTTTTGTTGAGACGTTCATTCATTCATTCAACAAATGCTTACTGAGCACCTACTATGTGCCAGCCACTGTTCTAGGTGCCGGGGATTCAGCTGTGAATAAAACGAACAAGAATCCCTGTCCTCGCAGAGCTTACACTCTGCTCAGAGGGATAAAGACAATTCCAGGATAAATAAGTAAACTCTCCGGCAAAGGAGGTGGTGATCAGTGTGGAGGAGGACACAGTGCACCCTGTGTTGGGAGCCGGGTGTGGACATTTCAGAAAGGGCGGTCAGCGAAGGCATTTGAGCCAAGACCTGAAAGAGTGAGAGAAGGAGCCGTGTAGTTATCTGGGGGAGGGAAGAGCATTCTGGGCAGATGGAACAGTAAACACAAAGGCCATGGGGTGCAGAGGATGGCACTGTTGAAGAACATGAAGAGACCCAAGGGGCTGGAACAGTGGGAACAGGGAGGGTGGCAGAGACAAGGTCAGTGGAGGCCAGACCACGGAGGGCCTTAGAAGCCACTAAGCATGTGGACCTTTACTCTGAATGAGATGAGAGGCCAGTGGAGGGTGCTGGGCAGAGGATGACATGATCTCATTTGTGTGTTAACAGGATCCCTCTGACTGCTGTGTAGACATGAATCAAAGAGGGAAAAGGCAGAAGCTGGGGGCCTCTTGAGACTGCCACAATAATCCAGGTAAGCATCGATGGTGGCTTGGACCAGGTGGTAACAGAGAGATGTAGTCAGTCTGGCTGCGTTTTGAATGCTGAGCTGGCAAGAGCCACCAACCGAGGGCTATCTGCCTGGTGAGCCTTGGGGGAGAGGGTGTCTTTGGCAGAGAAACAGCAGCAGTCGTGGACGTCGGGGGCTGTGGCATGCTGAGGGACTTCCTAGGCAGGACCTGTGAACCTGAAGGGACAGGCAGAGTCGGCAGAGCTGGGCTGCACAGAGCAGGGCCTGTGGAGAAGAGGAGCTGAGGTCCTGCCCTCCTCCTCCTCCTCCTTCCTCCTCTGCTACCCCCAGGCCAGCTGCTTGGCCCCAGGGAGGGAGGGGGGCAGGCGAGATGGGCCTTGCTTGGTGACACATCCAGGGTAGTGGGGCTGTTCACTCGTTTTATCAGGTTGCGCAGTGTTTCCGCCCCGGCTATCTCTCTGGCAGGAGGCTGTGAAGTCTGACGTCTGAGACAGAGTTTGTCTCCTTCTGATGTAAATAAATTCTCCATGAACATTACAGGGGAGATAAGGCACAGGAACCAGTCAGCAAACGGGAGATTTGTCGGTGTTGTCACCAGCAAGCACTGGGCCTGCCCGTCCCCAGCAGTCCCGCCACCGGCTCTGACCACACCAGGTGGAGCCGGCTGCAGCCCTGGCCAAAGGGATTGGTCTTGGCTGCACTGGGACAGGGAAATCACAGTGAAGGAAGGGACAGTTGGCTCAGAACTTCAAAGATGAGGAAGAGTGTGCTGGGGGGAAAAGAACAAATGGGTTTCAGGTGGAGGAAACAAACCCTCAGGGGCGAGAAGGCCTGAACGGGGTGCTGCTTGGGGAGTGGCCAGCTGGCCACCGCAATGAAAGTGCAGGGTACATGAACTGAGCAGTGGGAGTCAAAATAGGAAAGGAGGGCAAAGGTCAGCTCAGAAAGGCCCTGATGGTGTTGCTGAGGTGTTTGGATTTGACTTGCAGGTATTGGGGCACCATGGCAGGTGTGGAGAGGGTTTTCAGCGGGAAGTAGAAGCCCAGGCCTATTTTAGAACGATGACTTTGGCCCCAGTAATGGATGGATGGTGTGGTTGGGGGCGGGGAGGGTGGCAGGTGGGGACCAGAGACAGGGAGAACAGAGAAGAGGCTGTTCCAGTCATCAAGGCCCCAACTCTAGGCAGTGGCGGTGGGAGGAGGAGATGGAGCAGGAAGGGACTCAGGACGCAGGCCGGGAGGGGCAAGAGGACGTCTCTCCAGCAAGGAGTGGGCCGTGCGGGACAGGGAGGAAACGGACCGCAGAGGAGACACAGCTCTGCAGGAAGTGGCAGCCGCCCTCCTCTGCTCAGACCGTCCCCATGATGAGCGTGAGTCCCGAGGAACAGCCGGGGCAGTGGCTGTGGGCCTGGAGACCCAGAGGCCGTGTCGCGGGAACTCATTCCACGGAACAGAGAAGGCTGGGGAGAGAAGGGACATTTGAGGAGCAGGAGGAGCAAAGGCACTTGCGAGGAGAGGAGAGGCAGTCGGGGAGGGAGGGGAACTCGCTGGGAAGTGAGCAGGTCACCAAAGAGGGGCGTCGGGAGGGGAGCAAGCCGGCCCAGGAGCTGCGGAGAGCGTGAGGGCCCGGCCGGGCAGCCACTCTGCGTGGAGGGGTCTCAGCCAGGCCCTTGGTCCACACGGCCTCGTCCTGCGCATCTGGTGGACGACAGGGAATGCCGGATGGGAAGCAGGTCTTGGAGGAGAGACAACGGCCCTGCGGCCTCTGCCTACCGTGGCCTGAGAAACCCTTAGCTATCCCATGTTGTTCTCAATCGCAACCCAATGAGGCCGCCTCTTCCTCTCCTAACGTGAA